AAAAATACTAGAAGAACCTAAACCCAAGGCAGTGGATGAGGAATCATAAGAAAGATCAGTGTTGGTATAAGTAAAGTTGGCATGCAAAAGAAAATCCTGAGATCCCTGAAAGAATGAGCTGTTTCTTTACAAGGATGTGCCACAATGCAAACCCCTTAACAAAGTTGATCAAGATTATGTAATATAGTTCAATGAATTCAAACTCTAAACTAGTAGAACTATACATAATATACTCAGCATCTATTATAATGTACACAGTTATAAATATTATATTATACATATATGTTACCTATAATATACATTATGTGCTTTATATATTTATTTAGTCCAGTAAATTTAAAAATGTTTTCTATAAAGGAGAAAAGAAACCAAAGGGAAATAAAAGGCTGAATTTTCAAAATGAAAATTGGGTAACATTTATTGAGGAAACTGATAAAATAAGTACAAATTATCACTAAAACAAAAATAAATTAATATAATCTTATTGCATCTTGTTATTCCATGTTCAGTTGCTATCCCTTGGAGCCTGCTCTTTTCTCAAGGGAAACAGAGGAGCAGTGGATCTGGTGGAGAGATTGGCTGAGGGGCAACTGGGAGGATCGGAAGGAGGGGAGGATGCAGTCAAGATTTACTGTATGAAAAAAGATGAAATATAAAGAAAAACTGAAAAACATGAATATAAATATGACACAGGAAATCTAAATCCTAGGAGCCAAAACCAACACACTGGAAATCAACTTTCCAATCTCTACAACTAGCAACAATGACCGGCAAGTATTTCAGTAGTTCATAAAACTCAGGGAAGGCACAGTTTCAAGCACATTTCATAAAAGAGTTATTCCCCTAATTTCCAAACTATATAAGACATTTCAAAATGATCCTAGTATCGGGCAATATCCTTGACTGACAGACTAGAAAAACCTGAATGAGGGTAATTGATAGGTCACATAAAATTCAACACCACGTTAATAAGACCAGACTTTATGCTCAAGACGTCTTTAACTGGGAACATTCAAGATTCATCAACAGCCAAAGAGCACAGCATACACACAACACTGAGGTAAGTCCTAAATCAGACATCAGTGGAATAGAATGCCCAATTCAGGTGAAAACTTGGAATTAGTGGAAGTGTGACTACAAATATGCCAGTTCCACAAACACAAGTGTCACATTTTGTTCACTCCAGGTCATGAGCAGGCAGAGGCATAGCCTTTGTATAATGGGAAGTAATTGTCCAATGTAATGGGCCAGGAAGTGAAGTATAACAGAGAAATATGATCAAAGTAGAGTACAGGCAGATATCAGTCATGATCAAATTCCTCATCCTACGCATTTACTACATAACATTAAATTTGTAAAATACACAAGAACACAGCCAAAAAATGACAAAAAGGAGTTAATAGAAGGAAAATCAGTTGAAATGAATAAAAAGGAATTACAGGGGAAAATTACTACCAAAACCAATGATGTAAATAAAGAAATGCCGAGCAGTGGTAGCACAAGCCTTTAATCCCAGCACTCAGGAGGCAGAAGCAGGCGGATCTTTGTGAGATCGAGGTCAGCCTGGTCTACAGAGCGAGACGCAGGAGAGGCACAAAGCTATACCTTTGTCTTGAAAAACCCAAACAAAGAAAGAAGTAATAGTCAATTGCCAAAAGGCCAAACTGAGAACTTGGGAATCAAACTCACTGTGTCCAGATCCAACAGGTCAGGGAAAAGGTCAAGTATATGGGGGAAATAACTGAGTCCAACTGCTCTCCCACCAACCAACTGATTCTCTGAAGTACAGACAAAACTCAGCCTCAGGCAGTGCCTTTTGATTGGCTAGTATCTAGCTTACCTCACAAGGACTCTGTGTGATGTCACATGCAATGGACCAATCATGGCTTGGCAAAAAACCAAAGTGATTTTTTAAAATTATTTTTCAGTTAAATTATTAAATTTTTTTTCCATCCACGTTCTTGCCCCAAGGACTAATGCCCTTAGCAAAGAGGGCTGCTATGTATCCCCACCACACTTCTGTTACTTTCCCAGAAGCCAAGACAGATTCATTGCTGTCACACAGTCACAAATTGACCATATCCCTCCCACCCATCCTGTGAATATAATCAATGAGACCTTCAAGTAGCCTAAGTTTCAGATCCCATTTTCTGTCATGTAACATAGGTCTCATATTAACCAAGCCTGCTACTTGATATTGAAGCAACTCCTTTCCACTCAGATACCATGAAGTTAATGGAGACACACTTTGTCTGGTGGGAATAAAACTCCCTCAGTGTCCAGTGCATCATTACTAATGACTTTTTGTCTGAAAGGAAGATCTGTCCATGCATCACTGTCCTTCTGTAAGCTCTGACCATTCCCTCCCTCCTCTGATAAAAAATAGAAAATACATCCAAGAAGGAGGGAAATAATAACTCAAAGGGAAAATTAAAGTCTAGGAAATAAAACTAGACAAACACTCTGAAAGTACTTAGTATCAAGAAAGACTCATACAGTGACCAGGACAATTCACTGATGAATTCTGTCATCTCAACATCTAACAGCAATGTTCTCCAGATATTTCAGTACCCTATAAGTCTGAGGGAAGGAACATTTTCAACTTTTTCTCACAAAAGTTGCATTACCCTTATTCTCAAACCAAGTAAATAAAAGGTAAAAAGAAGCCAAT